GCTGATCTTATAAGAAACATAACCTTTTTAATGCCAAAGTTAACGTGTACGATCACTCCAAAAGCGTATAACTGCAGACATCAGGGAATAGACTTGAGTTACGAGGAATAATTATCAGAGAGATGGCTCCTCAGGACTGAAGCTTTGCACCTGAAAAAGCGGATAGAACGTTTTATTATCCCAACACAGTCAGTGTGTGATAAACATCATGTATTGCGTGTGTTAGAAATCGAGACGTCGAGTGTTCAAGTACCACATGAGGCTCATTTTTTAGGCACCGTATATCTTAAGATTTTTTTTTATTTTCTTGATTTATGAAAACTACCAGACAAATACCAGACATTTGTTTTTTTAATTATTCACATGAATAATCTGTTATGATCCAGAAAGACGATATTTCATCATTCTAAAAATAACCTTGCCATCAGTGATGATAGAAAATAAGGATATTTCATTATCCATGAAGATAAAAAATTTCATCATCCTATAAACAACCTTACCACCAGTGATGAAAGATGAGAAAAATATTTCATCATCCTAAAATCTGATTATAAAATCGACCCTTTACACCACGAGTGATAGTAGTCAGGCAATCAGTAGGGTTAGGTCAGTAGAGTAGAGCTGTTTGTATTTACTTGACCCCCTCCACTGAGTCAGGTTGTGACACAAGGTCGGTTTTTAACGTGGAGACACAAGTGTCTTCACTCGGGCTGCTGGTCTTAGCTGGTCATAGCTTGTCGAAGCTGGTCAGAACCGGTCCAAGCTAGTCATAGCTGTAATACTACAAACACAGGTACGGATATCTGTGACCGGTAAGTATCAGAATGTGTATACTACTCGAGAGAGTGGTTTACAAGGAGATTACATAGTTAAATAACCTGTGGAAACAACCGCTGTTGTTGAAAAATAAAATATTTGTCGAAAAATAAAATAAAAATAAAGCTATAGTATTCTTTCCTTGTAGTCATGTCATTAAGAAAGTTGGCTTTAAAACTTGTGGATCTCGTTATTGGGGCCTTGTGTTAAGTTAAGTTAAGCTTAGTAAATTACTTGATCTCAATCTGGGTAGATTTTACTAAACCAGTATAGGAGAGCTTTGTTATGATTTTACTTCGAAAAAACGACAACAGCAAAAACAACTGTCTATACATACTATCCTCTCATTACCAATTAATACCATCTGATAGTTCAGACTAAGCTACATCGAAGCGTAGGGCATTGACACCATGATTTATTCTAATGTGAACGATCCTTACCTATCTATAACACCTTTCGACGCAAATATCTGTCCGTTTGAGTGTGTCCAAGTGTGGAATATATCATTTGTAATTCTGGTTCCGTGCCGAAACCAATTTCCAGGGAGAAATACATTCAATGTATTCACAGGCTCTTAAAGTTACAAGAGTTTGTATCCATTTTCTCTCCTTCATTTTGGCTTTGCTCGATCATAAAGTCTTATTCGAACTGTTCGTCAATGTAACAATCACTTGCTATTTCTCAAAGTTTGCACGGGAATTCTGCGAATTAGACTATATAAAGACTACACACACACACATATATATATATATATTAAGAAATGGACAAAGTCCGACAATCTATTTATTAAAGACATTTTTATGTTTAACGTTCTTTTTTTATAGATACAAGTATTTAAGTAAATGCTCTGTTTATAATAAACAGTATTAAATAACATTTACCGGCCTGAATGTCTGAGAAATTTTCTTAGAAAATATTCGTCCTATGACAGGATTCGAACCTGCATCCTATACGGAACCGTCATTTACGCTGACGTGCCTAACCTCTCGGCCACAAAATGTCTTTAATAAATAAATTGTCGGACTTTGTCCATTTCTTAATATATGACGTCATTTGTTTACATTTGATACGCCATGAGCAGTTATGAATGTACGAGATTCATGAAGTTTATAAGCAGTAAATTCGACCTTGCCAACCGAACGATCCTTTGTGGCCGAGTCGGTTAAGGCACGTCAGCGTAAATGATGCAGGTTCGAATCCTGTCAAAAGACGAATATTTTTTATGAAAATTTCTCGGACATGACTATTAGCAAACCATCATTGGTTGTGATAGCACAAAGTCCCAAGCTATCGTAACCGAGGCTTTGATCGTACCGTCCTTGTTCAAACAGTTGGTCACACCAGATAATGTGCTCTCTCCCAGGAACTGTAAAAACGGTCCGCTCAGAATAGTTAGTGTATAAAACGTGGACTCTGTTGAATAAACACAAATGTGCCTTACCAAGCGTCTACAACAGGTATTGATAGACATACTTGGATACGAGTGGCCAACCCTTATATATATATATATATATATATATATATATATATATATATATATATATAGAAGAAATATAGTCTTAAGATGTGCTATATTTATCGTATAAAGTGCTCAATATCAGATAGGGCGTGTGTAAATATAAAAGTGAACATAGAAGTCAACACTTAGAAGCGACAGTCTGTTTCATGCTAGATGCAATCGTCAGGCCACGAGTGCTCGTCGCCTCTAAGTGTTGACTTCTATGTTCATTTATATATATATATATATATATATATATATATATATATATATATATATTATTATTAAAAAAATATCAGTCCAACACTAAGTCATTAAAATCTTATATAATTACAGTTATTTCAAGAAGGAATTGACGTTGGAACATTTTCTAAATTTGGTATTTGCAGATCTACTTTTTGAGAAGCTGTTAAACTTAAAGAAGAAATAAAGAAAACACTACACTTTGAAAATGGGTCATTGCATTTTGATGCTAAAAGAATTGATGGCCAAGAATATCAAGTGCTTGTCTTGAAGAATGAAAGAAGAGAAGTTAGAAGCATCACATCTACCAAATGGAAAAGCGGATACTGCTGTCAAAGGAATAACAGCTGTTCTGTATGAATACAATTTATGGAAGAGCATAAAGATGATTGTTGCGAGCACTGTGAACACTGGAATCAGGGATGGAATTGTCATTGAATAACAAAGACTACTTACTCAAAAGAAGCTGAAAGAATCACAATTCACTGGCTGTCAACATCAGGTTCTTGACCGAGTGTTTCGCGTAGTCAAGGATGATAAATTTGTAGGAAACAGCACATCGCCCAGTATCGAATATCCATTTATCCGTGAACTTGTAAATAACTACGAACATGACTAGAAGAATTTAAAGAATGGTAAAAAAGAGATTTCTGGAACAGCAGGATGACCTGATTATATGGAATTTACCTCGAGAATTTACCTGGAAGATTTTCTAAAGTGATGTTTAAATTATAAACCTAACTTAAGTAATGCAAGATGGAATTCTAGATCAATACTAGCGCTTTTGGCATTTATTCTTCAATCAGAGAAAAGAGACTCGCTACACGAAATTTGTAGATTCATCTCTTACAGATGGGCTGACCATTGGTTTACTGACGAAATTTAAAATGCAGACAATTATCAGAAGCTATGTAGCAACTTGCAGGCTCACAAAAAAGCATTAAACTCTGTGAAAAAGTTTTGGAATCTAGAACCATGGAAACAGGAAATTCCCAATGTGCAGAATGGTCAATCAAGTAACTTCAAGAACTATATCACGTCTGCAATAAGAAGGAGCAAGTTCACCTTACATTTACTTTGTGTAACAAGGCAATAATTGTTTAATATGCTATAATTATGCTACATATTCCACATTCTTTTTCTTTATAAAGCTATTTTTCCTTGTGGATGTAAGTTTCTCCTTGTATATGAAAGTTTGCAATTTTTGTGTATTCGAAGTTTGTATGTTACGCTATAACTATAAACTGTTAAATGCGCTTAAAACTACGTCAGTACGATCCAATTACGTCTTTAACAAATTGAAAAATAAAGCTTATGAAATATTTAATTTTTTAACCCTCATTGCGTATATGGCAAAAGTGAATTTTCAGTTTGGGGTAACCTTTTTCAAGAACTAAAACAAAATTAATACCTTTTTCATTTCTTTTTTAACAAAAGTTAATTGATTTATGACAGAGGAACAAAAAAACAAAAAAACGCCATAACACTAATATATGTATATATACGTATAGTCCATACCATATCGAGTTAGACTGACGTACGTCGCGTCGGTTGAAATAGATCTATTCTCATATGGGGTAATTTTACATTTTGTTGCGTAATATATATATATATATATATATATATATATATATATATATTAAATTCGACCTTTGAATTAGACAGTAGAGACATAGGAGAAATATATATATATATATATATATATATATATATATATATATATATATATATATATATATATATGCGCGAGACTGTAACATATTTCCTTGCTGGTTTATGAGATAATATTTCAATTATGCTCATTTTTAAATTGTCTGTATCGAAGAGAGTTTTATTACAATCTGAATTCGTTTCTTATCACACATATACACACACATACACACACAAACAAATACACAAACATAACTCTATTTTTATTCGGCAAGATATCTAATTAATTCTTTTTCCATAGTGTACAATGATGAAAAAAATGATGCTTATAAAACTGAAAATTATGCTACGTTTGCATGTACACCTAAACACGCACATCTGTCTCCGAGTTTTTAAAATAGCATCAGCGCTTCTATATAGACAACATTCCTAACGCACAAATGCGGCTAACAAAACCTACGTAGACATTTTGTTGTACATACGTAGCGTCTATGTGTTTTTCTTTCTGACACTGTTAAACATCTAAGAAAAAAAAAGAAGAAATTATCCCCAAAGAAGCCAACGGCCCGACAAACATTAACACGTTTATTGGAAGTCTTAAAGAAACGACATTTGCAAAGAAAAAAAAAAAAAAAGCATTTCAAGGGAAAGAAAAAGTAAATTTAGGATTTTTTTTTTTACTACTTTTCTCATTTCTCTTTTCAACCTCTCCCTAATTCATATCGTGCATGCTTATACGTTTCTCTTCTTTTTTCCTTACTTATTTATCTAATCTTCCACCTTATTCTTTTAGGTTATTGTATCTATATTTTCTTTTACAATGTCTTTACTTTTTCTTTTTCAATCTCTACCTCTCTCTCTCTCTCTCTCTCTCTCTCTCTCTTTCTCTCTTCCTTCTTTTCTATTCCTTCTCTAATATCCATTTCGTCCTAAAATGATTCTCTTTTCTCTCCTTTCTCAACCGGCTTTGATCCGTTGTTATTTTCTTCCCGTCTCTCTTCGTTCGATCACTTTCATTCTTGCCATCCATTTTCACTTTCACCTTACTTCCGCCTCTCGTCGTTTCTCCTATGTCTTTACTGTCTGTACCCAATTTCTTCCATCTTTTCTCTTATTCCTCCTCTACTTCGCTCCCATATTTCCAAACGTCCACCTTTTCTTTGTAGTTACTTTTCTATCTCTTACTCACCACATTAGTTTCTCTTTGTTTCTTTAAGTTCCTTCTGTTCTACATTTTCCTGTCTTTCTTCGCCTACTTTTCTTCCGTTCTGTTCTCTTATCTGCATAAAATTCTCCTTTTCTTTTCTATATTTTCTCTTACTCTTCATTTCCTTTCTATTTTCCTTCATTACTAACCCTTTTCTATTTTCCTTCATTACTAGCATCATTCTATCTTCCTTCTTTACTAACAGTATTCTATCTTTCTTCATTACTAACTCCTTTTATTAGTAACCCTTTTCTATTTTCCTTCATTACTAACACCATTCTATTTTTTCTTCTTTACTAGCCCAGTTCTATCTTCCTTCATTACTAAACACTTTCTATCTTCCTTCTTTACTAACTCTTTTCTATTTTCCTCCATTACTAGGCCTTTTCTATTTTCCTTCATTACTAACCCTTTTCTATTTTCCTTCATTACTAACCCTTTTCTATTTTCCTTCATTACTAACCCTTTTCTATTTTCCTTCATTACTAACCCTTTACTATTTTCTTCCATTACTAACACCATTCTATCTTCCTTCTTTACTAACCGTATTCTATCTTTCATCATTACTAACCCCTTTTATTAGTAACCCTTTTCTATTTTCCTTCATTACTAACACCATTCTATTTTTTCTTCTTTACTAGCCCAGTTCTATCTTCCTTCATTACTAACAGCCTGTATGATTTTTCCCGTTTTATTTAATTAAAACTTTATATTTCTTTCTAGAGCTATTTTCATTTTTTCTTTTCTTCTTTTCAGTTGACCTCTCTTTATATTTCACTTTTTTCTTCTTTACTCCCCCCCGTGCCAATCTTTTATTTTGCTTTCCTTCTTTTTCCTTCCCATCCTTACTTCCAACTCCGTTTTACTATATTTCACCTCATTTTTCTTCTTCTTATTTTACATCCCTTCCGTTTTGTTTCTCTGCCAATTTCCTCAACGTTTTCACACCATCGAGCACTTCAGGCTTCTTAGTTTGCCATTCCCTTTTCTCGTCAGTCCCATGATGTTTCTTCTGCTGGTTGTCGATTTTCTTTTTCTTAATGATTTTCCATTTTCTTTTCGATCTTTTCCTCCCGACAGCGTTGTTTCGTTAATTCGCCATCTCTCTCTCTTTGTTTTTTTTTTTTCTTTTATCGATTCCTGCCGACCCTTTCGTCCTTTCAGCCTTCGATCTCTACCTTTCTGTTCTATTCTCATTTTTCTCTTCTTTTTATTCTTCGCCTTTGCCGTCTTTTCAATTTCAATCTCTTTCTTCCCTGTGTTTTCCCTTTCTTTGCCAAATTAATCAGCTCCTATTCTTCAAGGTTCCATGTTTATACAAGTCAATTCCAGGCGTCGAAAAACAGCCGACAACGCGACAGGAATATTCGCGTGACTGAAATTCACAAGACCAATGGTTGAGGACAAAAACGCGTAGGTGATGGCGATGAAAATCAGCAGGGGAAATTGGTAAGTGTATTGCCCCGGAGACTGAAAGGCACGAGATGGAAACTGCAGCTGAAAAGAGAGACGTATAGTTTGAAGGGATGCGAAGTGAAAATAGAGTGATGAAAAAAAAGGAGGAGAAAACACAAGGATGAATAGAGGACAGAGAGAGGGAGAGAGAGAGAGAGATAGAGAGAGAGAGGGAGAGAGGGAGAAAGAGAGAGAGAGAGAGAGAGAGGTGAGAATTAAAGATAATAAAGGTATAAAATGAAAGAAAAAAGACTGATGAATAAAGAAAGAAAGAAAACAGGTATAGCTGAAGGTGAGGAAATGAAAGATAGAAAATAAAGGCAGGAGAATATTAGGAAAAGAGGAAAAAAGAGAGATGAAAGAAAGAAAACCAAGCAAAGAGAAGAACTAAGTAAAAGCAAACAATGAAGGTGAGAAAGAAAGAGAAGTACGAGTCTACCCAGGCTGTAAAAAATGTCGGCATATTTTGTTAAGACCTTACTCTTATGAGACAGTTTTCACACATGAATCACATAATATATGTACATTATTTCAATTACTATATTAATATGTAGTAATTCTGAAAAGATCAGTTTATCGTTCCATAATAGTATAAAATCGATACCCCACTTTATGTCTAATAGACTTTTATATCAATACTAGCTAACTGAAACTACTACTAATAAAACGACGGAATATTCTGCTAAATCCTTACATACATTAGATTTTCACATGAATCCACCTAAATATATTTCTTCCAAATATTATATTAACATATAATAATTCTGGGAGTTCATTTTGTTACTTTAGAGCAGTGGTTCCCAAACTGCGTCGCACCTCATAGGTGCATCGGAAGAGAATAGCAGGTGAGGCGGAAGAGGATAGCAGGTGAGGCGGGATGATTGAAAAATAATCAAAGATTTAGAAAGAGTTTTAAAAAATTCATATGCCAAAGATAAATATGATTTCAATATTTAAAATATTGTTACAGATTACTTATAATAGCATGCAGGAGTCCCAGTATGCATAGTTATAAATAATGATTGACCGATTTTATTACTGTGATATTTTTGCATTATATCAAGTATTAAGAATATAGTAACTAGGGTTGGCAAATTGGAGGAGAGAGTTATCAATAATAATGTTCAATTTCAAATTCGAGGTTTTCTCCCTTTAACTCTTCCTCTGTTTTTTTTATGTTCTTTTTATCACTTTGTTTTAACCTAGGAAAGGTTGCCTAATAGAATAATCATACGAAGGTTGTTAATGAACGATAATACTTAGGATACGAATATAAGATTCACCAGCGACACGTAGAAGGACTAGTCAACTGCTAGAAGTGAGTCAAGTGAATTCCACAATGAATCTCCAACTGCAGGAGACGAGACTCTGCTCTTCGACATAGCCTCGTCTGGGGATCCTCTCTGTCCGGATGTAGAGAGTTGACCAGCTCAGTTAGAGACGAATCTCCAAATAAATATGATTTCAAAATTTAAAATATTATTATAGATTACTTGTAATTGCGTGCATGAATCCCAGTATAAATAGTTATAAATAATTATAGACCGATTTTATCATTGTGATATTTTTATCAAGTATTAAGAATATAGTAACTAGGGTCAGCAAATTGAAGGAGAGAGTTATCAATGATAATGTTCTGACTTCGAATCCGAGGTTATCTCCCTTTAACTCTCTCTCTGTTTTTATTTTAAATGTAATTTTTTTTATCTCATAAAATTAGGTGAGGCGCGAGCAAATTTTAATTCCGAAAATGCGACCCTGAGAAAAAGTTCGAGAACCAATAGAAAATTGCCTCCCCATTTTATGCTCATAAAATCATTAATACTTAAACAATGAGTGGCATATATTAATTTCTTTATTTATATTAAGTTTCCACGTGTTAATCTTTAAATACATAAATGAATATCAAGTTATCTACCTTACGCTGGCGATATCAAGAGTTTCTTTTGTTTTACGGCATATCAACCTCAATAGGTCACTTAATGCTGACAACTTTTTTTTCCTGTTAATATTTTTGTTTTGTCAAAAATCCATTTCTGTTAATATTTTTTTCCTCAAAAATATATAGCTGGTAATATTATTTTTTCAAAAACGTATAGTTATTATTTTTTTTTTTTAAATTATATTTTTTTTTTTCAAAAACATATAGCTGGTAGTATTATTTTTTTTTTCAAAAACTTATAGCTGGTAATATTATTTTTTTTCAAAAACTTATAGCTGGTAATATTATTTTTCCAAAGACTTATAGCTGGTAATATTATTTTTTTTCAAAAACGTATAGCTCGTAATGTTATTTTTTTCAAAAACTTATAACTGGTAATATCATTTTTTCAAAAACGAATAGTTGGTAATATTATTTTTTTCAAAAACGTATAGCTGGTAATATTATTTTTTTTTCAAAAACGTACAGCTTACCGCATTATTTTTTCTAAAACGTATTATCAGAGGCCTTGCTGTTGGACGTAGTTTATCGTCTTACCCAGGACGGGGATGTAGTTTATCGTCATACACTGGACATGGGTGTAGTTTATCGTCATACCCAGGACGCGGATGTAATCTGAGTGTTAACTATTTGCTCATAGCTGGGACCCTAACAGGTGCTACCACCCCGGGTCACCAGCAAATAAGAGGTGGTTCCACACTCTTCAAAACCTCCTGATCAGAGGCCTTGCTGTTGGAATTAGTTTATCGTCTCACCCAAGACACGGTTGCAGTTTATCGTCATACCCAGGGTGGGATATCAAGAGTTGCAGACGTTGCAGTCATGTAAAAATATATATAAAAAAACAATAAGCGGATATGGCAAAATTGCTATATTGATTTAAATTACATTAAGAAAACCATGAGCCTTTTGACGGTGCAATGATTAGCAAGCTTTTAGTAAGATCAATTACGTCTATGTAATGTGTTCGAATCTCACTGAGTGCTCCTTAATTTCGGCCTTGTGCCGCATCTAAACTACGCTTAGTAAATCGCTATAATTAAAAGCCATATATTGTTATTGGTAAGTGTAAGTAATTATGAGGTAACATTATTTTATCACTATGTGTAGTCTCTTCATCAGGATACACAATTTGAGATGACTGTGGATGGGAACGAAATATCACATGCAAGCAGAGATAACGACAGCACCAATTTTTTGTAGATTTCTTTTTTATGTCTTGAAAACAATTTATAATTCGAATGTACGAAGAAGGGGAGACAACTCTATACAATTTTCTTACGTGTCTTGGTTAATACAAAATAACAGCAAATGTTATCAAATTTGCATGGTGAAAATAATTTAGGCCTTTATCTTCCGGTGGTCAGTGTGGGTCAAGTGAATTAGCTATCTATATTTCATTTTTTTTTAACTTCCAATTTTTGTCTTTCTTCCGTATTCGTCTGTTTTATACATTTTTCTCATCGTTCTCTTTTGTTTGAATGTCTAAATAATAAGATTTGATAACTTTTGTTTTCGCTTTTGCTTTTTATTACCTTTTGTTTATGACAATACGAAGAATCCATTTTTGTTCTTCTTTTCATCTTTTCCTCCTTCTGTAAAAAATAGCTTCTGTATTTTTTTTTAACTATTGTGTTGCTTTTTATTATTGATATATTCGTTTGAAATATTCTAGTTGTGTGTCATTTTTTTCGTGGATGATTGTGAATGGACAGAGTTAGTATGCAACGACGACGTCTTAAACAAAATAGCAACAAAAAGAACACTTCTGCTCAGAATCAGGAAAGACGGCTGACAATTCTTGAACATAGTAGGAAGGTGGGCTTAGAATACTTAACCCTCACAGGGCATATTGAGGGCAAAGGAGACAAACGAAGCTAGCCGGACACCTACCTGACAAGCATGTGTCAATGGAGGGTGGAACGGGTTGTGGCGGGAGTTTTAGCAAAGGGAGAAACACTGTTAAAAACCACAAGGTATAGGAAGTTGTGGAGAGTCATGATTGTTCATGTTCTGAAGGGACACGGCACATAGCAAAGATTTTAATTTTATGGTCAGCCATTGTTTTTGATATCTCTCTACCATCTGCGTGAATCATGGATCAATGCGATTCGAAAGCGTATGATTTTTATTGAAAATTAAAACAAAAGTATATATATATATATATATATATATATATATATATATATATATATATATATATGTTTCATAGTTATTCCAAACCTGATTTCAACATTTCATCACCGACTTGGTAATTTCAATTCAGGAATTATCAGGAATTATCGACTCCTGCTTATTTCTCTTCCTAATAACAGTCGTATTACATTCTCCTTGAAATAAATCGCATATATCTTTGTACACATTTTTTTGAAAATCTCTCATTTATAGTCGAAGTCTTTTGGGGCCCAAACCAAAAGAAATGTTTATTATTCATCCATTTTTTGGCATCTCGGGAATCGTGTATGAGAAGTTATACACTATTTTCCAAATGGAAGTTTTCTCTTTTAATCGTCTGAGAGAACTTTTTGCCTTCCGTCAGAGGACATCTGTGTATGAATTTCTGGGTATTATAAATCTAATGTCTTCAGCAACCATTTTTTACCAGTTCTCATATTTAAATTTTTGCTGTTATCATCCCATGTTTTTACCAGAGCTCATATTTGAATTTTTGTTGTTATTATCGCTTTTCTCTGGCATTCCGTATTACTGGTTCCTATATTGTATTCATTTCTATGCTTGGTCGGCTCAGGAGATTTTTGTGGCCTAACATATGTGCTGATTCCTTAAGTTTACGAATTTTCCAATGGTGTTCTTTGTCAATGATCTCAACCTGATCCCACAGAGAGCGGTGATCTCCCTTCTCTCTCCATATGTGGTCAGCCACGCCTGATTTTTCCACTTCCCCTCGTGTTACAATTTTCTGGTGTTCTTGAAGCCTGTCTCCCCTTTATATTTCTTTCCGCGGCTGCACGGGATAGCGTACATACAGTCTTTAGTCATGTTCTCGTCTATGGAGTGGGGTCTTACTCGGGAGAGATATCCGTGAAATGTTGTGAAGCTTTTGAAGGTTGTCCTGATGTTATATGTAATAAATATGGCGAGGACAATATTCCGAATAATGTAAATAATGTACATAATACTGAAGGATCGGTACGTACTCGATATACCAAAAATATGGAGACAAATTGAAAACTCTTACCAGAAACTTATTTAAAGCCGTAAAATATTCTTTTATATTGTAAGAATTCACTTTTCTTGTAGATAATAAAAGTTTAGCAACACAAGTCTTACTAATTCATTTTTAAATTACATTTACTTGAAAATATTTTTTAAATATTTAAAATAGTGTTTGTTAAAAGAAAGCCAAAATATAAATAATTACTCTACAAACAACTGGACGAAACGGAAAAGCGGGATCTCTTTGTGTCTGTCTATAACTTAAAAATATTAGGAGGAGAAGAGGTGGATTCATACCTTTCCCAATGAAATTTGCGTGTAAGTGGATATAACGAACTCAAAGGAAATTGGAACTCGCCCCTACAATTAACATTAGCCATTATCCTTTACATCACCTGCAGATTCAAGCTTACAGTATTCTTAAACGATTACCCATCTAGGTACTGACCAGGCTCGACGTTGCTTAACTTTGCTGATCGTATGGAAAGTTGTGTTCCAAATATCGATGTCGAAAAAGAATGTTAAAAAGGAATAAAAACAACTAAACTACCAACTTCAAGTTTGGTGAAAATGTACTGGATATTTGATTTCCTGAAAGTAATTTTTAGTATATAATTGATATATATTGATTTGATAGCTGGTTTGGCGGTTGGGTCTTTTATTGGACTAATCAATCGACATGATTTGGAAGCTACAGTGGGGAAATGGAATAATGTTTTATGCTAGTACCCTAGACAGTAAAATTATAGGTTTTCTATGTTGAGGATGGTGTCAAGATAAATGTAGAAAATTATTTAACGGATACAGTCACTGGGTTGTAAAATCTATAATACATGTAATAAAAATAAAAGTGAAAATAACGTATATTTCCAAAACGATAAAAGAAAAAAAAAATGGATGGGAACGGATAATAAAATATTGTAAACAAGTTCAAAATCGGCAAGCCAAGGACAATTAAGAATGGAAAAAGAAACGCGACTTTTGGCTTATGGAAAAGATTAAGAGGTTCGAAGTGTGAAGTATTGTCTTGGGGAAAGATCATGAAGACAATGGGAGGGGAATCATGTTTTTGTATTTCACTAATTGGTGAGCGGTGCTGATGCATGTGACGGACGGTTAGAAGTTGGTGCTATCGGCGAAAGAAAAGAACAGAAAAAACAAAGGGAAAAAGAGAAAAGAAAAAGAGAAACGAAAAGAAGAAAGAAAAAAAGAAAGAGAAAAGAAAAGAAAAGAGAAAAAAGGATGAGAAAAGGAAAAGAGAAACGAAAAGAGGAGAGTAAAGAAGAAAGAAAAGAAAGAAAGAGAAGAGAAAAGAAAAGAGAAAAGAAAGGATGAGAAAAGGAAAAGAGAAACGAAAAGAAGAGAGAAAAGAAGAGAGAAAAGAAAGAAAGAGAAAAGAAAGAAAGAGAAAAGAAAAGAAAGGATGAGGAAAGGAAAAGAGAAACGAAAAGAAGAGAGAAGTGAAATAAAGAGAAAAAAAGAATAAAGAAAGAAGAAAAGAGAAATTAACAGAAAAAAAAAGAAATGAACAATGAGAAAGGCGAAAAGAAAAAAGAAGAGAGAGAGAGAAGACACGGAAAGACAATAGAAAGAGAGAGAAACGAAAAGAAGAGAGAAAAGAAAAGAAAAGAGAAAAGAAAAGAAAAGAGAAAACAGAAAAGAAAAGAGAAACGAAAAGAAGAGAGAAAAGAAAGGAAGAGAAAAGGAAAAGAGAAACAAAAAGAAGACAGAAAAGATAAGAGAAAAGAAAGAAAGAGAAAAAAAAAAAAGAAAAGAAAAGAAAAGAGAAAAGAAAAAAAAAAAAAGATGAGAAAAGTAAAAGAGAAACGAAAAGAAGAGAGAAGTGAAATAAAGAGAAAAAAAGAATAAAGAAAGAAGAAAAGAGAAATTAACAGAAAAAAAAGAAATGAACAATGAGAAAGGCGAAAAGAAAAAAGAAGAGAGAGAGAAGACACGGAAAGACAATAGAAAGCGAGAGAAACGAAAAGAAGAGAGAAAAGAAAAGAAAAGAGAAAAGAAAAGAAAAGAAAAGAAAAGAGAAAACAGAAAAGAAAAGAGAAACGAAAAGAAGAGAGAAAAGAAGAAAGAAAGAGAAAAGAAAAAAGAAAGAGAAAAGAAAAAAGAGAAAATGAAAAGAGAAACAAAAAGAAGAGAGAAAAGAAGAGAGAAATGAGAGAAAGAGAAAAGAAAAGAAAAGAGAAAAGAAAGGAAGAGAAAAGGAAAAGAGAAACAAAAAGAAGACAGAAAAGAAGAGAGAAAAGAAAGAAAGAGAAAAGAAAAGAGAAAAAAAAGGACGAGAAAAGGAAAAGCGAAACGAAAAGAAGAGAGAAAAAAGAAAGAAAAGAAAGAAATGGAAAAGAAAGAAAGAGAAAAGAAAAGAAAGGATGAGAAAAGGAAAAGAGAAACGAAAAGAAGAGAGAAGTGAAAGAAAGAGAAAAAAGAATAAAGAAAGAAGAAAAGAGAAATTAACAGAAAAAAAAATGAAGGAATGAGAAAGGCGAAAAGAAAAAAGAAGAGAGTTAAAAGACACAGAAAGACAATAGAAAGAAAGAGAAAAGAAATCAAAAGAAAGGAGAAAAGAAAAGAAAATAAAAAAAGAGAAGAAAAGAAAAGGACAAACGAATAGAATGGAGAAGTGAAAGACAGAGAAAACAAGAGAAAGGAGAAAATAAAAATAAAAGAACACCATTCTATCTTCCTTCTTTACTAACCCTATTATATTTTTCTTTATTACTAACCCCTTTTGTTAGTAGCCCTTTTCTATTTCTAAGATAAGAAAAGAAAAAGAGAAACGAAAAGAAGAGAGAAGTGAAAGAAAGAGAATACAAAAGAAAAAGAGAAAGGAGAAAAGAAAAGAAAAAGAAAAGAGAAAGATTAGAAAAGAAAAAAGAAAAGAAAAAAAGAGAAAAGAAAAGAAAGAAAATGATGAATGAATTGCTGGTGAAATTGATGCGCGTTTAATATATTTTTATATCTGTTCAACTGTCTTCTCGGCAAGCGCTGTTGTCATTCTTAATTATATTGATGTATAGCTTACAATCTCTTTTTGTCGTAGTCTGTTCAGACCAGATTCAGTAAGGCTGGTCAAAATAGACGACATTCATTCTTGCCATGCTTTTTCTGATCAGGCCTTTCAGATTTTTCTTGTAATTTGCTCAAATAATACTGTATTCTTTCTCCTCATTTTTCACACTATTGTGGCTTCTGAGAAACCAGCCTTCAGTAACTCTTTCCATTCCATTTGTAAACTAACATATTTCCCTATCTATTCAAAAGTACTGTTCTCATAAATATGGATATTTATATTCATAAACACACTCACGTGTTCATGTGTATTTAGGTAATACTGTATTGCACAGTAATTTTCTGGCTTTCAAACATCCCTTTTTCACTTACATCCATCAACCCAATCAAGGCACTTCAATCTGAATTCTTTTGACTTCGCTTTAGCTAAGCTCTTGTGTTTACCCCTCTCTCCTTTTACACACACACACACACACACACACACACACATATATATATATATATATATATATATAGGTACAATCTTCTCAAAAGTACATGATAATCAGTAACCAGCGACAGGGGAAGACGAAGAAAAAGAAGAGTAAGAATTTAAAAACAACAGAGGGCAAAAGAAGAGCTTCGACAGAGAGAGAGAGAGAGAGAGAGAGAGAGAGAGAGAGAGAGAGAGAGAGAATGGGAGAGAGAGAGAGAGAATTAAGGAGAGTGGAAGAGAGAGATAGTGGCGGGGGGGGAACTAGAATTGCAAAGATGTTAGAAGCGATTCCTGGTTCCCGGAAGAAGAGTTGATTGAACAGAAAAAATAAACGAAGTCCTATTTGCAAATAACAGTTGCTTCTTCAGAAAAATTCCACAAATTGGAAAAATCGCTCAGAAGTGCAAGCATACTTATCTCCAAAGTCATTCCTTCACCGTCGGCCATTCCTGATAACCCTAACCCTAATCCTGTGCCGTAAATAGCCCCCTCCATAGTTGACGCTATTTTGGTTATCTTCGTCATAGCCATTGCCGCTAATCAACATCAGAACCGTTATGGCATAGAGTTACAAAAACAAGTATGGCAAAAGGCCATTTTAATATAGAATATTCGATAAGAATCAGAATGAAATACTTAAATAGACAACAATTTTATGGTCGGAACAAAAGATCAGATTATCAAGTTTTAAAGTAACAGAGAATGTGACACAGATATCAATAGGTACATATGAATAAGGAAAGATGCCTTACAGAAATTAAGCAAAGTATTGAGAGAGGATGGTACCGTTGCAAACAATGAAAAGTGTACCGAACTGCTATGTAATATATACCCTCCTATATGCCAGATAATGTTGGACAATATAGAGCAAGAAGTGACTTGAGAGAGAGAGAGAGAGAGAGAGAGAAAGAGAGAGAGAGATAAAGAGAGAGAGAGAGTTCTCCCGACAAATACGGAGAATAACATAGACAGAACATATGAGTAATGAGGAACTACAAGGAAACTTTCGCTAACGATAAGAAAGAAATAGCTGAAACTACATAATGAGAACAGAAGACTGAAAGAAATTAACACACAAAGGGCATATTGAAGGCAAGAAAAGCATTGGTAGGGAATAGCGAACACCATACTTAAACGACTTAGAGTGACTGCATGGAAGAACAGGTATTTCGAAAACAAAGAATGTATAGTAAAAGGGGAAAAAGTTGCTTAGAGCAACAAATGACAGAAAGTGTGGAGAGCCATGATTGTTTACCGTCTAAATGGACATGGCATATCAAGGAAAGAAAGACAATGCTTTTATATGAACTTGATAAAAATAAAATTTGTATTGTGATTTTTCCTGCTTCTAAAATCTACATGTGTACTTCCCCCATTGACATATTTGACAGATTGAGAGCACCTCGGCGTGGTATAATGGTTAAGAATGTTTTTCTCAGAGCCATTGCAACTGAATAGTGAATTCGATCCTCACTAGGTAACCCATACTTTCAGCATTGTGCCACATCTAAGCTGCACTTAGAAAATCGCCATATTTGGCAGGTTAATTGTATCATTATGAACTCCCCGTAGAGCACAGCAAGCGCAATTATTCCGAAATTGAATTTTTTTTGAAGATGCAACATTTATTTACAAACCCAGCCATTAAAGTAGATATTTATTTTTACATGACGCGCAAAATCTCACATTAGATTTATGAAGGGTGTTCCAATAACTTGGACTGATTTTAAATGGGAATTAAGTTTAAACGTCTAATGATTTTTTTTTCTTTTTCTTTCAGATTTAACAACTTAAGTCTTTGGCAATTTCAACCATGGAAAGATTAACAATTAAACAACGTGTTAAAGTTTCAAGAGTGCAACTGGAAAAATTGTTCGTAAATTCAAACAAATTGGGTCGGTGGCAGATGTGAAAACACCATTAAGTGCTCGTTTATGCCGTTCAGCTGAAAACATTGCTGCAGTGCACGAGAATGTGGCCGAAAATCCTGACATCTCTATTCGTCATCGCGCGCTGGAATTGAACCTTTCCACAACAATATTACATCGTTTCCAATTGCATTCTCTGTTGGTCGATTATGTTGACCAAAAAAATCGCGAAGTGAGCGAAATGCATTTCTGCTTGAAGATCCATTTTCGTAATAGGCTTCGATAACTTTATTATTATTAATTATAATCAATTGTTGGAATCTGAGCAAAATGTTACTGTGCAACGTTACAATGAGCAATTGGCTCGTTTGAAAGACGCATTTGGTTAGAAAAATATATATACAAAAAGTTATTGGCAGGTGATCTTTGTTTTTCATGGCAATGCCAATCATGCTGCAAATGTGACAGAACAAACGGTCATGGAGGTAGCTGGGGAATTCTTCATTAAGCAACGCGTTCTTTAGATTTGTCATTTTCAGATTACCATTCCAACTCTCCCCAGGAAGCCCAACAATTATAACAATATAAAGATATCGAAAATATCCTAGAAGAATTCATAGAATGAAAAGCAACATCGTTCATTTCATCAAGGAAAACAGAATATACCTAAATCATGTCGGAAGATCATAGAAAGTCAAAGGAAATAATTTGATAACGGAAATATTCTGTGATTTCATATAAATACTACACAAAAGAATGAGGTGCAGAAAATGTCACGGCTAAATCCGACTCACATTCCAGAAAAAAAGACCCAACAGAATTTTGAAGAAATCCCTTTCTAGTCGGCCGAAGAACTATTCTAGAATTCTCGTATGCATGAGACTAATTACTTAATTAGTCAATGCAAAATTTTTTAATTTGGAAAAAACAAAAACAACAAAAAACATTTTTTTAAAAACACACATGCACACACAAACAAATAGATAAACATTTGATCTAATTATATATGATATTAGCTCTGGTTTCATTTCACACCAGACTGTCAAAGGAAGGTACAAGCCTGCTCCGTAGTTACTACCGGCCGCCGAATGCAGAAGTACGTAACCTCACATCTATTTCCGGCATTACAAGCATGGGAACGAGAATGTTGGACATATATAAAAAAAAAAATTAGCTCAGAGATTATTTGGATAGTCTTAATTACAGACAAAGTGTAAGAACCGTAGGCCGGTTGATGAGGCACGCACCACGGGCTGGTTGAGAGTAACTGACGGAATAATGCAGTATTACGTAAAATGTAAAGTGTTGAACATTCAGGTCTCGTATTATTATTAGCAAAATCACAACTTATTTCTTACATATGCATATGAAACAATCTACTTCTGCTCATAATTCCTGACCACTGACTGTTCTTTGCTGGTTTTCGACATATTTACATAGTGAAAATCTGAGCGATGCATTCATATTATGCTTGTATAAATTCTCTCCCATCGGTAACGCTAGCCTTAATTCCTGACCACTGAATATCCAGCTTTTTTAGCGGATTTCAAGGAAAAAATCTATAGTAATTTATAAAAGCAAATTTTTAATGCTAAAATCAGATTACCTACAGCCAAAAATATTTTGTTAATTAATACAAGAGAAAGAAATGACTGAAACTAAGAAAAAGTGTTCAAATGGCGGGAAAACACAGTTGACAGTTACAAAGAAAGACAAATCCTCACCGATGGATACTAGGTTCAAATGTCTCTAAAAATCAACCTCAATAAATGAATGCTATCTTTTACTTTTGTGTTATATCTCAATTCTAGTGGACTGCCAGCAATTCCTCATGTAGAATTCTCAACCCTGCATCAATAGATTCAATCGACAACAGAATTTTCCATCACGTTTCTTGTTATGTGTTTTATTTTTAAGGATGGGGACGTAGACATCTTTTTTTGGGGGGGGAAGCGAGAAGGAGAGGGCGATAGAATGGATGTCAGCTGACCTGCTAGTTACCACATCGCCACTTGCTAAAATCATAGGAATCTAGAAGAGAGACAACAACATTTTTCTTTACTGTCAGAATCGAATCGCTAGTTTCCGCGCATTTTTCTCTTATATCTACAATTAAAACCAATATCACATTATCAGATTACCACGTTCGCGTGACAGTTACCGCCCAGACATTGGAATCGGCGAGGCGAGTTCAAGTTCTGGTTGAGTCTGTTTATTCACTTTTGCAGTAATGCCTTGGGGAAAGAGGTGAATTTATTTCTTCTTCCCCCGTCTATGTGTTAAATAACAGGGCATGCCGGGCTCTCTAGCGTTAGATAACAACCAGTCTAAGAGAAAGGAAGCTGAATTCAAACAAAGCCATGGAGAAGACATCGGAAATTCAAAGATGATAAAGAAAGGGACTCTATGGAAAGCCATGATCACCTTCATCCTGAAGGGAAATGACATTTAAAAAACTGTTATGTTGCACATCATAATGGTAACTGCAACAACAATGGTGGTTCTCCTTTAAATCTAGCAGCGATACATTGTGAAATGATTATATAAAAGGTAACGGTAAGCGTGTTAAAAGCATAAATATGTACGCAGACCGTTATAAAAATAAGGCATTTCCCCTCCTTGGTTTCACGGTCCAGCGTATTAAGGTAAGTCGGATGGAGCAATAAAACTATCTTGTGGAAGGCGGGAAAAGGATTTTGGATAAAAAAAAATATCATAGCAGTTATTCTCTCAGGCGGACTACGAATTAGAGACGTCAGAATTAGGCTTGGCTTAGCTTTCCTCCTTAAACCCAGAAGGAGTCGTTGAGGCACCAACATGCTGAGCTGTCCCCCATTCTTCTCCATCTGTCGTGTGCCAGAGCCTGGGTCTCCGCGGATGGTTCCTTAGTGTGCTCATCATATGGCGTATTTTTAACCTGGCGGAGCCCATCTTTCTCCAATAAGCAAATAGTAATATTTAAAAATATAGGCAATGTTTTAACAGAGGACGGAAAAAAGTGACACTGACATAGAAAGGTGCATTGGGATAGCGAAAATGCCATCCAAAAGCTAAGCAAAGTATTAAGAAACAGGAAGACTTCCTTAGGAACAAAACAAGAGTAATGAGCTCTTATGTGATATCGGTCTTTCCATATGGCCGTGGATACTGTCTAATCTACTCGCAGATGAATAGGAGAATTGTGGCTACCTTGATCTCGTTCTGCAGAAGGATGCTGAGAATACCATGGACTGAACATGTGAACAACGATGCAGTTTTAAGAAAAATGGACACAAAAGAAAACACTTCGTACATAGAATCAGAAAGGTACACTTGATATTTCTAGGGTACATAATGAGGAAGGAGTACTTGGAGAATTTGACACTCAGAGAAAAATGCAGCGTATAAAGCACCTAACAAAAATGGTTGGCAAAACATTGGCTAGGAAGGATAGCAAAAAAAAAACTTACTCAGAGTTCCAAAAACTAGGAAGTTATGGAGAGCCATGATCGTTTCCATCCCGAAGGGACAGAGTGCGTAGAAAGAAAATTCAGCATCCGAATGAATAAACAGCTATCAACTACAGAAGCCATATTGTCTTTATAAATACTTCTAATCAACAGACAAGCAAGATAACAGAATGCTCCATGGCCTTTGTTAGATGACATTTGGTTCCGTGACTGACTAACCTGACCGGTCAAACGTTAATAAGAAGTCTAATCCTACGCACATGAAAGGCGGCTAACAGCTGCAGCAGTCTGTGTACACATAAAGCTTACAAACTATCAAAAACACACACGTTCTAACACATATTTCTAACTTCAGAAGCTTGAGCAAATGCACAGCAACATCATTCAATAGATTTCAGTTGACGACGAATTGAATGCACTGACTACAAGCCATATCTTAATGAGGAGGGCATCGGAAAGCGTCCAAGAGCGCGAAATTAATAAACATGGGGATCTTAATACTCTCGGTAGACTAGGAATATTTCCTTAAAAAAGGCTAATAAATAATCATTTCTCTAACATCAATTAGGTTATGAGGAAAGTGAGCTTGGAAAATTTGCTACTTACTGAACAGATGGAAGGCAAGAGATACAGAAGTAAGAAAATCATTAACTGCCTGGCGAACTTTAGTCAATGGATGGCGGAGCAAATTTTGGGAGAGATGGCAAAAAAAAAAATTGGCTGCCAGCATAGATTCTGGATTATTCTAATGTCCTTCCCAAATATGTCAAGGTTGCGTTGTAGTTCTAACAGTACTATATCAAGCGTTTTTCTATGATATATAAAACATAGTTATACATCCTTTTATCTGATAGCCTTCTGATCATAAATATCACCATAATGGTTCCAGTGTCTTTAACGAACCTGCACTGTTCTTGTCCCATCTCCATTGTAATTCTGTTCATCGGTGATCTGTTTTGTGATATAGCTCATTAGGCTGATTGTCATATGGAGTGCACATTCGTTTGCACCTGCTATCCATGAAAATGGATTTTAGCACTTCAACGTTTCGGCAAAGTTGTATATTTCATTTATTATGTCTGTAATCTTGTCAATACCGAAATCATCTATGTCTGCCAGCATCTTTATTGCAATTCCTTCTGTTCCTCCTTGCTTACATTTGGTCATTACTGATTTAAATTTAGATTTTAATCTTTCTGATCTTTCGATTTTTCTCTCTATTGTTTGTTGTTTTCTTTCATTGTGGAAAAAAGTTCACCGACGTGAATTTTTGTTAGGTGGTTTATACGCTGCATTTTTTTTCTGTTGTCTCTCTTGCATTCAATATTTTCTGTGAGTGTCAAATTCTCCAAGTACTCCTTCCTCCTTATGTACCCTAGAAATATCAAGTGTACCTTTCTGAATCTATGTACGAAGTGTTTTTTTTGTGTGTGTGTCCATTTTTCTTAAAACTCCATCGTTGTTCACATGTTCAGTCCATGGTATTCTATGTTCCATCTATGGAGTATTTTTCTTTGTCGTTCCGTGCTTGGATTTTATGCATCCATTTGATGAGCTTGTCGTTTCTTTTACTGTTTTCTTATTTTTATGCATATCTGCTTTCACTGTAATACTTATTCTCTCTATTTTTACACACTTTTCGTTGAGATATACCTTTTTGCTTATCTGCATTTTTTTCTAATTTCATTGTCATTCTCTTCTGTTTCCTTGTCACCCTATGGAGAATTTAATCTGTTACCCACTCCTTTCTTGGTCTAGTTTTCTTTCAGATGATCATGTAGGCATTTGAGTGCGCTCTAACCTTACCATTTTAGTTCAGTGGGAGGGAGATCCTACCGCTAGGTCGGAATCAGCGGCTTTAGGTATCACAAAAAAACTTTTAAAAAGCGGAAGTGGGAACAGATACTACATTTTGATCCCAGTTCGATGTCAACGTAAAGTATGTCGGGTATTTTTGTTTTTTACAATAATATTAACCCTGTAAAAGGTTCATGAGCCAAGTTACTTACTGAGTAAGAGAAACAGTTTATAGGGATATGTGTGGAAGGTAACGGTTAAACTTAGACTTGAAAAGTTAAGATTCTAGAACTCTTGGGAGTCCGTTCCAAAAGCAGGAAGAAGCTATTCATGTGGAACTTACATCACACCAATGGAATACGAAGAGAATAAAGGCGATTCGTTACAATGGATGTGTCATGGCGGGTCTTAGCCTTGAAAGTTAGAACTGGTGGAACTAAATAAATGTAGTTCTTCGGCACACTTTACATGGAAAAAAAAGCAATAGAGCATCAAGAGATTTGCAATGCTTCCTCATTGAAAAATGGGTTTTAGGGTGGAAAATAATTCATCATCCATAAGGAGGCGGAGGCGGTTTTGGACTATAAAGACTGGGCAGCTCCTGCTCATTTTTCGTCTGATTTGGCTCTTGTAAAGATATAAGATGGCAGCACGAAAGCAAGACGGTGTAACGAGGGGTACATAGGGGCCAAGGGAAAAAAATGGCGTAATCCTTGCCCTTGACCACGACCACGCTAGGGTCGGTACAATTATGTATAACGTGAAAAGAAAAGAGAAAAAAAGAATCAATATATAGTTTTTCTTTTAACACAATATCCAAGCATGCACAATAAACAATCATCCTGGGTATGACGATAAACTACATCCAGCAGCAAGGCCTCTGATCAGGAGGCTTTGAGGAGCGTGGAACCACCTCTTAATTGATGTTGTTCCCAGGTCCACTCTCACCCTTCGTGGCAGCACCTCTTAGGGTCCGTGCTATGGGTCAATAGTGGACACCCAAACTAGGGTAACAAAAATGAAAGTATAGATTTTAAAAAACAATTAGATAAGCAGCAATACAATTTTGCAAAAGAAAAAAAAAAGACACAATCCCCCAAGTAAATTAAATTTCGGCATTAAATGACCCATAAGGAGTTGATATGCCGTTAAACAAGCAGAACCAATAAGCAAATCATTGCGTTATCGTAAACCTATAGCACAATTGTATAGTTATTTACTAGGTTTAGTCTGGCACAAGACCGTGTTATTGGTGCAGCTAGCGAGGACTGAATTTACTATAATGGTCTGTGGGTAGAGCTTTTTAAGTATCGGGATAACCTAGGCGCCTTACCTAATGACAATATAGAGATAATTTTACCTCTTTCAAAAGAATCCCATACATACAGACAGACAGACAGACAGGCACACTTTACAATCACGCACGAAGTCTTAATCCTCTCGTTAAGAGAGTTTTCGATTTTTCAAAAGTTTCAAAAGACAGACAACGATAATCGAGGGTCTGCGGCTGGCTGGCGGGAGAGGAGCAAGGGAAATGATTTGCCAAAGGGGAGCAACAGTCGATCATTCTCTGCCAGAACGGAAACTCCATTAGCGAACGGTGAAAGAGCGGTGGGTGGGAGGAGGAGTGAGGGCGTTGGAGAGAATAGCCGATGGGTTGGAGGCTGAGGGAAACCACTATGAAACCAACCAAAAGTGATCTATTGAACAGCCGTTTCGCTTTGTAGCCGCACCCCCCCACTATCTACCTCCACTTCATCCACCATATCCCGCCTCCATGTACTGGGGACGCGGGAAATGGTCAGGAATAAATGGCGTGTCGAAGTAAACAAATTTTCCCATCCGAGCAAATGGTTAAGAGAGAAAGGTCACGGTAGGAGGCTGGCTTCTTGCTATAAAAATTGTTGTATTCATTTTATTAGACGTTCTGGTGAAAAGGGGTCGACCCTCATTCGAACCTAGGAAGGAATTGCCATCTAGAAATTGGGTCCGGTCTTTTGAGACGCATAGACAACACATTAGATCATTAATGGACAAATGGCAAGCGTATGAGCGGCAAGGGACACGTGTGCGTATATGTATAAAGAAATCGTGCCGTTTATGTGATGCATAATTGTATATGTATGCAAACGAAATACTACTTCATTGAAAGTAAGCAAGTACAAGTATCTGCAAGCAAAACCTAGGATAATGTCTAGCACAACATTAGTACTGTGTAATGAGGTCGATCCTCTCTGAGTGCTCTATACTTGTGGCCTTGTACTAGATTAAGATAAACTTTGTAAATACCTCTATGAAGTCAAATTCACCCTTTGTCTTTAGGGCTCACGTAGCGGTTAAGGCAGTTGCATGTCTTCTTGATTCAAGCAATATCCAAAATTACGAATCTTCATTTTTATGGCTCTTCCGTATGCCTTCACATTGTTCCTAATTCTAGAGAGATTCTTCTTTTGTATGGCGTGTCCCTTCAGGAAGTGGGCGAACATTGCCCTATCCAAATTCCTATCCTTTTTAGCTCTTAGTAAGGTTTGTCTTTTCAACACCTCTCCCATTGGCTGTTTTAAACTCCATTTACAATTTAGGTAGGTTTCTCCTGTTTCTCTGTATGTCAGTATCAAATTCTCGAAACCCATTTAATTTTCTAAGCAAAAGAGTTAGAAAACAGTGGTTGCTATAGTTATTAACCATTGGAATATTATGCCTGTGCAAAAGATCCCAGCGATAGTTTTTGAAAACGTGCCTTGAACGCCTGAAGGGACTTAAACTCAGCCCAGACCTCAAGTGGAACTCGTACATACAATCCACGTTGGAAATATAGTTGGTTCCCTTCAGCAAGTACCTGTCTCCTCCTGCTACTCTTTACCTTTGTAAGAGGCAAACCAGGCTGAAAATAGTGCACAATAATGCCTTTAGATACGAGCGTACCGACATACGAGTTTTTTTGAGATACTAGCCAAAGCTCGACCGTTCTTTTACCTTGAGATACGAGCCGAATTTTTGAGATAAGAGCGAGGCTTATTATTTAAGCATCCGATAATTGGCGCAGCGAGCGCCAAGCTCTGAGAGCATTTCCACTCGCAGTAGATGTGTTCACTTCGATCTGGAATGATCTTCGTTGTGTTGTGTCTTTTTTGTCGTTATTTTGAAAAATTCTTTTAGTGACACAATCGTTCCGAAGAAAGTAAGTTTAAAGAGCTGTGGGGAAAAACTGAAACGTATGAAATAGCTTGAGGTAAATTATTAAAAAACAACAAAAAAAAAAAAAAACAAAACAAAAAAAAAAAAAAACCAACAAAAAACATGAGGAAGTCGTACGATTAATGGATTTGGCGAGACAGTATGAGCGTTCTAAATCGACGTTCAATAAAAATTTATGAAATTTTAAAACATTCCCCAAAATTAGTTACGGTAATTGATAAAATTTAAATGTTTTTAAAAGTTAAGTAATAGTGTTAATCGTCGGTATCGTACATTAGCCGTTGCTAGGCTAGGTTAGCAGTTGCTAGGATAACTGTTGCTGTCTCTCTCTCTCTCTCTCTCGCTCTCCCCTCTCTGCCAGTTGGCCTATGACACATCTGAAATTCAAGCTCGTCAAATGGATGCATAAAATCCAAGGAGGGAACACTGAAATTCATGGTTTAGTACAGTTTATTTCTTTACAATTTGCTTTTCTCTTTTATTTTATTTGTTGTTTATTGAAGGAACGGATCGGAAATATTCCCATTAATTTTAATGGGGAAAATTGATTTGAGATACGAGTCATTTGAGTTACGAGCTCAGTCTTGGAACAAATTAAACTCGTATCTCAATGCACTACTCCTTTATAAGGCACTACAACTATACTATTGCCATATATATATATATATATATATATATATATATATATATATATATATATATATATATATATATATATAGAGCTACACGTCTTCACTTTTCATTCTCGATAGTCCAAAAGCATCACAGCTTCTTTGTGAGTGACGAAATGTTTTACACCATACACACCCCTTTTTCTCACAGACTCTCTATCTTTCGTAAGTCTCTCGTAAATCTATCGCTATTTTGATGGAAAGTGTTAAGATAAACCCCATTCCTTAGTTCCATCAGTCCTAACCTTCATGGATAAGACCCGCCATGCCACGCCCATTGTAGCGAACCATCCTCATTCTCGTCGTATTTCATTGCTGAGATGTAAGTTCCATTCGAGCACTTTTTCCCACGAACCATTGCCTTGTGAAACCGACTCCCAAGGGGATGCTTTATCTTCCACACGCATTCGCGTAATCTGGGCTTCTTACTATGTAACCCTTTGCATCGACTGGATCTCGGGCCTTGGACAGGATGAAGATCATTATAAAAAAAACTAATATTCAGTTGAAATCATTGTTTTTCGCTGGAAAAATTTATTTTTCACAAAGCTAATATATAATACTTATTTGATGTAATTTATATCCCTGCAAAATGACTTAAAATATTTCCCCCGAAAGTAAAATATATTCTTCACTAATGTTCATGCAGACGTCATAAACAACCAATACTAAATCGGCGATATGGATTGATTGATTCATTCGTGTTTTATGGCTTATTAACACTTTGCAGGTTATTTAAAGGCAGAAAATATTTTTAGATTGTAAGACATTTTTTCTGATAATAATGATTTAATGATACAAGTCTTACTAATTAACCCATGGATGAAGGAGAGAAGGCAGATTCATACCTTTCCCAAGGCTATTTCCGCCTAAGTGAATATATCGAACCCAAGTGGAATTGGAACTCTGCTCTCCTATTAACAAATTTCGCGCCATTATCCATTACACCCCCGGCGAATTCTAATTTACAGCGCCTGGTATTTCCAAGCAGTCACCCGTCTAGTTACAGACCAGAATCGACGTTCTTAACCCTGGTGATTGTACGGAAACCGGTGTTTTGTACGATCAAATAAAGTATATGATATACATAAAGAAGGTTATTTACATTATTCGGACTATGGTCCTCATTTTTGTCGCCATATTTATTACAACGTTTCGGCCGTTGTACGCTCCGGCCTTCTTCAGGTGGTTGGAATGTCGAACTGAAACCTTTATTTCGCTCAATGGGGTAGACTGTTTTAGTTCCACGTGCCATGTTTTAATGGATGTCAGTTATCAGTTATCTCCTGTTAATTTTCCCTCAGAAAGTTCTCAATTGCTTTAGCCGGGTATTGAACTCACACTGTTTGGGTTCTGTCATTGGATCTAACCAACGCTTTTATCCACTGAACGTTGTAATAAATATGGTAACAAAGATGAGGACAATAGTCCGAATAATGTAAATAATATACATAATACCTCATCTCAGAAATATAGACAGATACATAAAGAAGGGTTAATATAGCGTTAGTAATTTTTGATTTTAGGCGGAGAGGTAGTCAAGGTAGCTGGAGTCGAGGTGAAATCAAATATTCCAATGGTTATTCTCAAGCTAAGAAGGATTTCCCAAGATGGGAGACTCGCATTATACAACCCAAAGATCTCTATTCATTTGTTTGTTTGAAGACATATCAACTCCTTATCGGTCATTTAATGCCTAAAGTTAATATTAAGAACTGATATATGTTATTCTGCTTTCACAGTTAAATACAAGGTAGAGGAAACTCAGATTTTATGAATATACCTGTTGGTTGATTGATATCAAACTCTATGGGTTATTTTTTGCCGAAATCTAAACATTTAGTAATTCATTTTATACTTTCAGGGTAGTCTGTAGATCATATAATGTATTACTGTTATTTTTACTATAAAAATGTATTGTTGGTAATGAATTTTTTATAAAAAAATGCATTGCTTGTATTTTTATACATTTTTAGTATTTTGTAGGGAGACCACAGTTGTTTTCCATTGGGTTGAGCACATGGGAGTTCAGCCCCTTTAGAGAGAATACTTCTTCCCTTTTTTCTTTGCTTCCGTTAGAGAACCGATTATTACCTTCAAAAACACCAGGGCGTCTACACACGTGGAAAATGGATAACATGTGCAGAGCCTAACGTGGAGAAAAAAAAAAGTAATTTTGAGACACTTAGCTACGAACGGTCATAGGCCATAAGGCTGGTATATTATTTCTTTGTTCATTTTTTTGTAACATGTCAACGTTTAGAACTGATTGTGTCACTTTAGGAATTTTGTAAATCTTTTTAATATGTGTATGTAAGTTGTTTACCTTATTAAATGTTTTGTTTGTTACGGGCATGTGTATCGTATTTCTATATTCGTATTCAGTGTTAGTTTATCAGTGGCTACACTAATGTTAATATTGGTACTCGGTGTACAGGATAAAGCTAAAGCGTTATTCTTCCTGGCACTAAAAAGCCGGCAAATCATGGCAGACTTATAAATTATACTAATAGTTATATTGATTGTCACTTTGCTATAAAAATATATTGTTAGTATTTTTTTTTATAAAAATGACCTGTTGATTTTTGGGGGGCTGGTGTGGGGTCACTATTTGCCAATAACTGGGATCATAACAGGTGTTACCACCGCGGATTAGGGTGGACCTGGGAACGACAGCAATTAAGATGTGGTTCCACGCTCCTGAAAACCGCCAATCTCCCAATTACAGAGCTGTCTGTCGGATGTAGTTTAACATCACCTCTATTCGTCATATAAATTTTCGTACTTGTAAAATCTTTGATAACCGTGTGATGCACTAGAAGTATCAAAATAGCGTCATCAGTTGTCACATAACACCTTTTTTTTAGTGATCTGTATTTGAATCCTGAGCCTAATATAAGAATCAATTCTTCCTTGAAATCGAAAAAAATATAGCTATATGTCAATCATTTAAATTTTCTACGATTCAAGAGAAAAAGTAATAGCAAATACGTCAAATACGGTCAAGACAAATACATAGAAATACAGTATAGGAAGAATGCGTAGCGCCAATCTTTTCCGTGAGGGTGTCTTGCCTGCCCCTCAAAAAACAATATTACAATTTCTGGTTTCTCGCTGGGTTCGAACGCCAATGAAGAATACATTGACTTCAGCGTCAACTGTTTTCAATTTGAGCGACGTTAAGTATTTATTTCCTGGCGAATTAATAAATTCCTACATGAGTAAAAAAAAGTGCGATTTTATTTATATATATTATACAATTTAATTGGGGCAGTATTGTTTAGATACTTAACGCTGAGACAAAGTACAAAGTTGAGTGAATTCATGCCTTTCCAAAGAGGATTTGTATGAACTGAAGTAATATCAGTTGAAAAGTGAACTCGGTTTGACGATTTTATTTTTTGTTCACTTAATACGCACACACATATAAGATGATAACATGGCTGCTCCTTCATCTCAGGCTTGTGCTACATCTTAGAAATGCTTGGTATATAGGTCGAGTGCAACAGAAAAAAACAAAACATTTGTCCAAATCGTGTAAGCAACATTATCCAATTGTTAGATTAAACTCTGAACCGTTATATCTTAGAAATGATTAAAGATATCTTACTGGAATTCTACGAGGCTTTTATAACACTGTTGGTCTCTGCTTTGAGTAATAAGCGTGATCGGCTACGCAATGATGATCCTTCTTCCTGTTGTGACCTCCTGATCCAATTTTATTCTCTACTTTCCCCTCTTTTTTTAAAACTTATTCAGTGTTCTCTTGATGGTTGCTTAACAGAAGAATTGTGATGAAATCGATCATGAACGAAAATGACATGTTCATCAATATTTAGTCATATCTAACTAAGGATCGGAATCTCATGAAGTATTGAAATAAAGTTCATATATCTATATCTATATATATATATATATTATTCCAGGATCATCTCCAACTTACTCAAAATGATCGTCGCTCTCTCTAACCTTCTAACTTTCTGTCCTGGAGTAACATGATGCCCCACACGATTTCATTTTTAAGTCATTTTTTCACTGTTCTTTGGAATGCCATAGAAGAATCTCCTCTCTCACGGGCCAAGTCTTATAAATTGAGATGAATCTTTTTTAATTGATCTCTTTAACTCCAAGTTAAAATGATGATCCTTCTTCCTGTTGTGACCTCCTGATCCAATTTTAATCTCTACTGTCCCCTCTTTTTTAAAAAACTTATTCACTGTTCTCTTGATGGTTCTTGATGGAAGCCAGAGTATGAATGTTGGTACCATTACTGAAAGCCTGAATGATCATTTCCCCTCACCATTGCTCATTTTGGAAGACAGTGGGGGTGAAACAAAACAATTTTAACCTGGTCTCCTTTTAACTGAATAACTCAAATGGTTTTTCAATGATTCTTACGACAAATAGTGTCAAAATGATCTAAACGTTTTGTCTGAAAACCAGGAAAAAGAAACTCAATTGGTTTAGTGTTTATTTAGATATTAAACATTTTTGGGGTGTATAATTATGTTGTAATATGATTTGCACAATTTTGCTGTTACACCCGGTATATATGTCCGGAAAACAGTGATTAAAAATGAAATAAATTAATAGGTTAATTAGATTAATAGCGACATAATTCAAAATGTACCCGACTAAGACATCAGATATTTATTCTATCATCACTTTTCAAAGCAAACTGGGAAGACCTCTTTTGAGATTGTCATTAAGCACCTTATCACATTCTCTTTACTCTCATCCACGGTCTAAAGTATTCCTTTCATTCGTGACTTTTAACTTTTTATTAGACGCAGGGAAATAAATAGGAGCTTAAAGATTCTGGTATTTGTGATGTTTTACCAAAAATTCCAACAAGAAGCCTGAAAAATGAGTAAGTGCATTGTCATTCCAAAATAGAACAGTACAGTTTACTTTGTGGCATATTTCCCTGCAGACTGACTAAAAAAAAAAAAAAAAAAACTCTGCTCAAGCATGCACAACATGATCGTCCATGATCGGCTACCCAATCATAGCAAGGCCAGACAAACGGTTTTGAGTTCAAAATGGATGGATATTTTCCGGACAACCAATTTTGAGATGTGCTTATATATGAGGATTTTGTGGGACAGTCATTTTTTATTCATTCAGATTTGGTTGAAGACCAGCGAAAGATTTTTCTTTAATTTAATTTTTCGTCTGTTTGGATCTTTTTTTTTTCTGGTTTCTGGGTATAATTTGAACATATATTGAGCAATGCATTTTGTGCGCTTTCAGTGTTCATAAGCCAGTCTCAAAGAAGGATTTGTGATTTGATATGGTTGTTATACTCACCGACAAGGCACTAGAAAACTACCAAGCAAATATAATCCACAATTCTATCAACCCGATAAAGAAATCACTGAGAATTGTTTAGGAAAGCCGAAAGTACTCAAAAGCCGAAAGTACTCAAACTTTCCTGGTCTGGCTGATCGGTTCCTTCTTGAACATGTGTGGAACATGAAGGGACGAGGCCTAGCTACAACTTCTGTTTTGCATGAAGAGGTGTGTAGTAATATATTGCAGAACGATATTGACCTTTTGTACGAACCAATGTACGTATGAGCAGATGCCTTTGTTAAAGTCAAAGGGGAATATACAGTATATTAATATGTGGTCTAAATATTGTTGATTCACACTTTATTATGAAGCCTGTTTCTGTTTTAATTTAACCTCAGTTGAGTTAATAGAGTCCACATACCTACACTGTGAATTTCATAATCTTTTCAATGAATGTATAATAGACACACCACCAGGGCTACTTAACACTTTTAAATTTAGAGACATTTCCTTCTAGATTGGGAGCCAACCATGATTGCAGAGTCCAATCTGCACTGCTATTTAACCCATTGATGGGAGAGAAGGATCATACCTTTCTCCAAGGCTATTCGTGCAAAAGTGAGTGTGACGAACCTGGCTGTATTTCGAAAACAGTTCACCGACTTTCCTTTCTGAGACACTAACCGTTCCACCATCCGCACATCCTATGAGCGTTTTGATTTTTATATGTAACTATTTACGGGAATCTAAATATATAATCTGTGCGTCTGTTCAAGATTAAATTGAACACTTATGTTCAGGTTGTGACAGCGTTATTTTCTGACGCATTGAGAAATTGACGCATTCTTTTTAAACTTTTTAATCATGTCTTTCGATAGAAAGCAAAATTTTAATGCAAATATTGACATAATCTATTTCGATAAAAATAGCACATTTCCAACTGTGTAGATAAAAGTGGTTTAGATACAGCATTTATCAAAAAAAAAAAAAAAAAAAAGAAAAGAAGAAAAAAGAAGCAAAACAAATAAACCGACTATACGGTTTTTAAAAATAAGTGACAGATTTTTTTTTTATATCGAAGCTCGAACGCCGATTGGGCAGCGCAGGAGGAATAAGGAACTATCTCATCCAACAATTACACATCTTTGAAAGAATGAATGTTTGGATTTGATTAGCTGATATTAATATCTGTTTACAGGATGCGATGGATAAATTGTCGTCTATATTAACGCAAAAATGAAAATAACACTAACATCTCATTTTAACAGATAGATTTACCAAAATTACAGAAAAATATCTTGAAATACTAAAGAGTAAACTTATTCAACAACAGTTCCATTGACTTCAAACATGGCGACAGTCTGTTTCATGCTAGAGGCTAGATGCAATCGTCAGGCCTGAAACAGACTGTCGCCACTAAGTGTTGTCTTCTATGTTCACTTTTATATTTACACGCGCTCTATCTCTGATATTGAACACTCTATCCCATAAATATAGCACACCTTAAGAGTATATTTCTTCGTATATATATATATATATATATATATATATATATATATATATATATATATATGTGTGTGGGTTGAGATATGTAGAATCTAAAGCAGAAGTGCCAATCCATATAAAAATCCTGTATTTTATCTATTATATTGTATTGTTCGAGTGTCTGCTTTGAAAGTGTTTTACTCTATTGCATTTAGAAAACTTTCTTTCTAATTAAAACTACAGGAAACACCAAAGTGTTTCATCGTAATAGAATCATTAATAATAATTGTGGTATTAGAAATGGCGCCCGAGTTTCTGAATGTGCACATTCTCTTTAGTGTAGATCTATATACGTGTGCCATAAATGATTTCAGGATAAGATTATTTGCTTGTAAATTTGATCAAATTAGATTGACCAATGAATAATTAAAACGTTAATTTTCCTCCAGAAAAACTCACCTCGGAGATTGTCGTAAACTGCCAATTAAAACAATTGCTATGAATAAGACAACAGATTTTATTGATTACGTTGTTGAGTCTGAAAACTTTCAAAAACTCATAATTACTGTGGGAAAATGAGCATTTTTAAGGCGACTTTTATGGTCTGCAACTTAGTATGCCACATTGACGTTTATCCCACAAAGACGAAATCCCAGGCGATCGGGACTTAATTAAATTTTGTTTTATTATAGTCGTATTTAGTTATCCTCATCTTCTCCGATTGTATAGATTAATAGCTTTTTTTCAGTAACACTTTCCTTGATATATAGAATTTGTTGAGAAAGAGAGGGGGAGAGAGGGGGGGGGAGAGAGGGGGAGAGAGGGGAGGGAGAGAGGGGGGAGGAGAGAGGGGGGGAGGGAGATAGGGGAGAGGGGGATAGAGAGGAGAGAGAGAGAGAGGGGGAGAGGAGAGAAAGGGGAGGGAGAGAGAGGGAGAAAGAGAGGAGAGAGATAGGGGAGAGAGGGGGAGGGGAAGAGAGGTATGAGCAAAAGAGAGAGGGGGAATTAGAAAAACTAAAATAATAAAGAAAAAAAGAGAGAATAAAGGAGATCTGAATACCGTCTATTTTGCGTTTAGCAGAATTTCTTGTGCTTGCTTATAAAGTAATTACTGAATTTCTCGGGGTTTGGGACACTTCCCCACCCACTAAAAAAGTCTGTCATTTTATTTGATCTATTTTATGTTTATTTATTTATTTATTTTTCCAATTCGAAACGGGAGTGCGTCGTTGAAACCAGCTTGTCTTCAACGTCTGGAATTAGGTAAATATAGTTTAAACCAGAAGACACAATTTAGAATAAACTTTCGGTTGACCACTGATTTCTTAAGGGTATTTGTTTTAAAAACATTTCCCATAAAGAAAGACAGATTAGAAAGAAAGAAACACACCTAAGTAAGAAAGAAAGAACGAAAGAAGAAAGAAAGAAAGAAAGAAAGAAAGAAAGAAAGAAAAAAGAAAGAAAGAAAGAAAGAAAGAAAGAAAGAAAGGCATATGACAAAGAAAGAAAGGCAGTTAAAAAAGAGAGAGAGCTAAGAAAGAATGAAGCAAACAAAGTAATGATGACACCTAACAAAGAAGGGAAGAAATGAAGGAAGAAAGTAAATCAATTAACAAAAAAAGAAGGCAGCTAAGAAAGAAAGAAAGAAAGAATCTAATAAAGAAGCAGACAAGCAGATAAGAAAGCTAACGAAGAAAGAAAGAAAAGAGACAGCTAAGAAAGAAAGAGTGCTTAAAAGAAAGAAACTAAAAAGAAGGAAAGAGAGCGAAGAAAAAAGAAAGAAAGAAAAACAACAACGGAAGAAAAAACAGCTAACAAAAAAAATAAACTAACATAGGAAGAAAGGCAGCTAACAAATAAGAAAAGAAGGACAGCTAATAAAGAAGGAAAGAAAGAAAAAACAGTTAGCAAAGAAACAAATAGAACTAACAAAGAAAGACAACTAACAAAGAGAGAAAGAAAAAGAGAGCTAACAAACAAAGAAAAACTGCTAACAAAGAAAGAAGACGACAAGGGGAGAAAGGCAGCTGACGAAATAAAAAGTTAACAAAGAAAGCAAGACAGCTAACAAAGAAAGAAAGACGGCTAACAATAAAAGAGAGACAGGCTTGCAAAGAAAGAAATGCAGTTGACAAAAACAGGCAGATAATAAAGAAAGAAGCTAAGAAAGAAATAAAGACACCTAACGAAGAAGGAAAGAAATGAAGGAAGAATGAAAAACAGCTATCAAAGAAAAAAAAGAAAAAAAAAGAAAAAAGAAAGAGAGCTAACAATAAAGAAAGACAGGTATCTAACGAAGAAAGATAGACAAGCGGATAAGAAAAAAGACAGAAAGAAAGAAAGAAAGAAAGAAAGAAAGAAAGAAAGAAAGAAAAATCTTGTTAACAAAGCTAGCTTACAACCAAAGACGGAAATAACGAAATAAATATTTCTTAGCACTTGAAACGGACTAACCAGCTTTGACCGTTTTTTGTTATGGAGCATATGACTAGTTTCCGCCAATTTGACAGCACTGGTAATTGCTTTTATTCATAGAAAGAAATCGAAATCCCAAATGTCCTTTCATTTTTATGTTTTACTTTAAATGTAGACAAATTACATTTATTTAAGAAACATTTCCCTTCCTTATGAGGTAATCGCCGTAAATTTACATTTTGCTGAATAGAAAGAATTTTGTCTATTTCATTCATTGGTATTGACTAGGATTTCTGTTTATATCGTTTTTAATCGAACAGTAAAATCTATACTAGTACCACGCGTAACGAAATTATTGTGTTCCGATTTTATTTCGCTGAAAAATTTCGTTATTAGCAGAAGGTAAAATTTTTTATACAAGTTGTTTTCTTTTGCTGCATGAACAGCAGAACGTCATTAAAACTGTGTGCCACTGAAAACCTACAAATACCTTATATAAATGAAACATTAACAATGTTTTTTTTTTCTTTCTCCAATTTGCATTCATCTTCATTCGTACGTGTTTACGTCGTTGAGATATTGCTTTTCCAACGGCGCCCCTTTTTTCTGACACGTATTTATGTCGTAAATCTTTATTTCTCAGAAGCTGGGGTCGCAAATATACACGAGCTATATGAACAAATCAGGTTTTTCGCAAAATAATTCAGGCGTTGCGCTATCCATAAAGTAGACTTATACACGAGTATATACGGTATCATATTTAAAACGTGTTATATGAAAACACCACGAAACTAATACTTTGACAATGTTCGGCAGTAATCTTCGTTACGAAGGCTTAAATAAAACAGTCATATTTTTATTTTAACATGACTATTATCCCTCTAATTTTCTCATATTTGTGTATACAAGAAACGTTGTGAGTTTTTTCAAAATCATTTTCAATCCAAGCAAGGAGATAAAGTCTATAAATTGCAAGCAGTTACTAAGAAGGAAGGAAAATGAAATCACTATTTTACTCAATAAATTACGGAACACTGACGAAATCGGTGGTCAGTACAAGCAATACAGGAATATTACATCATAGCTATTATGAATACCTGTGATAGCACCCGTAACCAATTAGAAAAAGAAGGTTGGTGATCGGGTCAGCTGACGATAGAAATGTGTTCTATTCTCACGTTGGTTACACGAAAATTTATCCACAATAAAGGAAACTGATCGACTTCGTTCGAAAAGACGGTCAACCACAACGACCATATTTAAATATATTTTAGACAAAACTTACACTAACTATAAACCCCTAATAAATGACTTTATTTTGAAGAAATGGCAAGACGCTTGGAACAACTGTCAAAACAACAAATTATTTATAATCAAACCCTCTCTAAAGAAACAACTAACTGAACACAGAAAATCACGCAAAGAAGAAGTGGTTTTATCCCGTATTCGGATAGGACACACGCACATAACTCACTCCTTCCTCCTAAAAGACGAAGATCCCCCTGAATGCATAGCATTGCCAGGAGGCTTATACTGTGAAGCACTTCCTGCTTGATTGCGGTGACATGGCACATATTCGAAAATTATTTTACAACGTGAAAAACTTGAAAGAACTTTTCGAAAAATCAAACCCCAATTTGATTTTGACCTTTCTTAGGAAAGTTGGACTATATAATAAAATATAATTCCAATTTGGTGTCTGATGATGAAAGGGGAATCTTTGACACTTGCCAAGTGAGAACAACGCATCTCTGAAAACAGTGAATTTAAAAAAAACTAAGACAACATCGAAAAAGAAGGAAAGAAAAGGGAAAGTCTTTTTGAAAGCATTTTAACCTTATTTAAAGAAAAGAAAAACAAAAAAAAAAAACAACTGGTTGACCTTAAATGATCTCTTGCTGATCGATGGGTCGTTAAGTTTTAAACAAACAAACAAACAAAAACAAAACTTAAATTCTGTTGTCACTTTAAATTTTAACTATAATTTATGTAATCAAGTTGTGTAATTAAATCCGACACTTTCTCACAGACGTGCCATGGCTTCCCTCTGTCTCTTCTACAAGTATTTTCACGGCAACTGTTCCGGCGAGCTACTTTTGCTGGTTCCCAGACTGCATAAATTTAAGCGAGCTACTAGGTTAGTATCTTGGACCCACCCTTTCACTATCGAAACGGTTAAATGTTACCGTCTCTTCCTCTCTATAAGCTTCTTCTCTCTCACTTACCGTCTTCCTCTTACTGGCTCCCCCGATAACTATAATCTCCAAATATTCAAGTGTAATGTCAATCGACATCTTCTGATACCTTGGTCTTGTTCCCCGTCCTTCTCTGTATCCTTTCCCCAAACACGCCTCTTTACTCTTGTTCTCAGTCCTCTGTAACCCCTTGCATGCTAGTGGCACCCCCGCCTTGCTTGGAGTGAAATGCTTAAAAAAATTATGTAATTAAATAAAGTAATTTGTAATTGTAAGTTATGTACTTCAAATGTGTAATTAAATCATGTAACTGAATTTTTATAATTAAATCTATTTATAATTTATAATTGTAATTTATGTAATTAAATTGTGTATATTACGTAATTAAATTTATGTAATTAAATCTAAATGTAATTTGTAATTGTAATTTATGTAATTCAATTGTGTAATTAAATTATGTAATTAAATTTAAATAATGAAATCAAATTGTAATTTGTAATAGTCATTTATGTAATGAAATTGTGCAATTAAATTATGTAATTAAATTTATGTAATTAAATTAAATTGTAATTTGTAATTATAATTGATGTAATGAAATTGTGTAATTACATTATGCAATTAAATTTATGTAATTAAATCCAATTGTAATTTGTCATTGTAGTTTATGTAATTGAATTTTATTATTAAAATATGTAATTAAATTCATGTAATTAGATCTTATTGTAATTTGTAAAGATCATCCATTCTCTCTTTCGTTAAAATGGAATAAAAAAGAATACTTAGAATCAGAAAGACATGATTGAAATTTCTAGCGTACATAATGAGGAATGCAGGCTTAGAGAATTTGACACTCTCGGAACATACTGAAGGCAAGAGAAAGAGAGGAAAGCAGCGAATAATCTACCTAACCACTTTGTGTAAATGGTTGACAGAATAAGGATTAGGAGAGATAGCAAAAAGATAAAATTACAAAGAACTACAAAGGAAAGGAAGTCGTGGAGAGACATGATCGTCCTGAAGTGACACGATGTCTAGAAGAAAGTGAAAATTCAAAACGAGATTATTTAGAATATTTCTGTGTTCCCTCACTATTTTCAGTTCTACAGCTATTTTTAACTTTGGCTAAAATATCAATATGGACTCATCGGTACGTGAGTGTTAGCTGTATAACGTATTCTGAAATGGCTAAAATTTGGGCCTCGTTGGAGCTGAAAAGCATAAAATTTTCTATGCCCAAAAATTTTGTATGGCGAGCCTTGTAGATATTTAGATTCCAGCGGGAAGCATCAGTATTAAAGAACCACTGAAGGATTTTACTTACAAACCAAAACTTAAAGAATCATTTTACTGAATGGCTTTTATGGAAAATTTCTATCTTGGAGACATTGAAAGAGACAAAATATAGGTAGAATTATATATAAAGACATTTTTATGTTTATACATTCTTTTTTATAGATAGAAATATTTAAGTAAATTCTCTGTTTATAATAAACAGTATTAATAAAATATGCCGACCTGAATGTCCAAGAACTTGTTATAGAAAATATGCGACCCCCGCCAGGAATCGAACCTGTATCCTATACGGAACCGTCTATAGTCTGACGTGCTTTTACTGATTGCCCCACAGAGGAGCGTTTCATTTGGCCAGGTCGATTTTACTGTTTTTAAACACAATTCTCCATGATTCTGTCTCATTCATTCATATCTGCTCAATGCGTATCCAAATGTAAACAAGTAACGTCGTACATTATGAAATAGACAAAGTCCGACAATTATTTTAAGACATTTTTTATGCTTATACGTTCTTTTTATAGATAAGTAATATCTGAGTAATATTTAAGTAAATGCTCTGTTTATAATAAACAGTATTAACAACATTTACCGGCCTGAATGTCCAAGAAACTTTCATAGAAAATATGCGTCCTCTGACATATATAGCGGTATTTAGTGGAAAGTGCTCAATATCCGTAATAGAGCTAACATGAGTGTCGAAACGTTACAAAATTGACATCGAAACAGACAGAATGAAATTGCCTACATACGTGTGTTCGAGAGTACGAAAGTATAACTGCGCTTAACCCAAGATTATGAAGATGGGTGTGAATGTATGAAGTAACAGGTATAAGTCTGTGTGTCTATGTATACGTGAGCTTCATCCCAAAACAAATGCAGCACAAGGGAATTCACCCCTCCCATCACACACAAATAAACAAACTCATATAAAGCATTAATAGATCCACTTTTGAAAAAATAAACCCGTTTGTCAGAAGATTTTGAAAGCCTGAAACCTAAGGACACAAACAATCCTCCATATAACCACACACACACACACACACACACATATATATATATATATATATATATATATATATATATAATTTAATTCAAAGAAAAACAGACCATTTTAAGGCTCCATTGTAATAATTTATTTCACCAGAGAATTTTATTTTTCTCTGGATTTTCAGACTACACTTTCAAAAGGTGAAACGAAAAATGAATTTAAAATTTACACTTTTTGACGGGCAGTATTAAGCTTATATA